AATAGGTCTATTTTAAGAAGAAAAAAATTGCACATGATGGGTTTTAGATGAGAAATAATTTTGGAGTGATATTGAGAATGATATCAGTCCTGCTGCACTTCAGTCCTGCCAAGTGCTTTCTATAATTAATAGCTACCTCAGACGAAGTGACTTTCTTTTGAATGTGAAATATTAAACATTAAAATCCCTATCTGTAAATATGAGACTACAGCAGATATCTCCACAAGCCTTGCAGGAGATGATAATGTGTATTTATATTTTATATAGACATTTTTAGTAAGAAGTACAAGTTCTTTCTGTATTTGATTACATCAGAGCTCCACTTCACAGTGAATGTCTGAATTGAGGAGATATCCTCTTCTTTTTTCTTCTCTTGTTAGAGTTTTGCATTAATTTCTGCTCTGACCTCCTCTCTTTTTCTCTCATGCACCCCTGGATCAATACACCTTCCATGAGGGCTGTAGGTGTCTTTTTTTACCCTCTCTCCCAAAGAAGCCAAAATACATAAAATGAGAAGAAATTAAGCAGTGATACAGTTCCTGTCCACCTTGCAGCTTGAGCCAGCCCATAATCAGGGCATGCTGAGATGACAACCACCACCAATCAGGTCTACACATGATGTGACCAGTGTCCTGCTGCTACTGGTGGAAAGTTACTGGCAATGATCCCTGTTGCAAACCCAAATCCTGTGAGCATTAGTCACAATGTTTGCTTTGAAGTGCAGCTTTCATCCACTCACCTAACTCCATAGCATCAGCGATGCCGCTGCGGGATGCTTGAGTCAAACCAGGAGGATTGAACTGGGTCCAAATTTGAACTCACACAAGACATTGGAATGGTTTCCCTTGTAGCTTTTTTTCAGCAGTGTGGAGAATTAACAGCCTTTCCTAGCTGATATTGCACAAACTGGGTGTGAAGCACTGTCCCCTCCTTGTAGTTTTGGGACTAAGAGCCACAGACTGCGGGTGACCTGTTTTCCTGATCCAGCCCAGGCTAAGGCTGGATGTGGGTTGTGTTTCCAGAGGAAGGAGATATCCTTGGATATATCCACTCCACTCTTATTTTCCCTTAAGATTAACAGCCCTCAAAGAAAGACCGTGCAAGGCAGATATATTGTCCTCACCGTTGTTGGCTAGAGGTAGGGCTCAGGCAGGGAAAAAACACAGCAGTGATTTCCACTGAGGCTGCACACCTGACATAGCCCCTTACTCTGAATAGCCCTGATGTCACCATGTACAAAACCCCAAATCCTCTAGCTGTGCTGGCCCAAGGCATCATGAAAGAGCAGCTAGTAGGACAGGCTTCATTCTCCAAAAATGCCACAGCTCACGGAGCTACCTTCTCCTGAGAGGGGTGGGGAAGGTGATGCAGGATGACAGGCTGCCGGTCAAATGCTCACCAACTTATTATTCAAAACCCTCCTCAAAATTAAAGTCTTTACTGGGCTTTGATCTTTCAGTTCTAGGCAGAGGATAGCTTTGCCTTCAGATGTGAGGGTGATACTCTACGCTCTGGAGCAGAGCCAAAGACCTAGATTTGCTCTGCTCTCTTCCCGCACTGTGTGTTACCACGTAGATCTGCACGCAGAAGAAAGAGAGAAGCCCCACAGCTTTATCTGGGCAATAGCACAAATTGCTGTACTAGCTGCAAGTCACTGGGCAAACCAGGGTTATGATTTGTAGATCAGGGCTGCGCTTGCAGGCCTGCCCCACATTTGCAGAAGGGCTGGAAGGGGAGAAAAAAGGCAACTGCTTGCCTGACTGTAAAGCGTTGGGCACCGAGGAGTGCCTTCAACTCTAGAGGGAAAACCTCTGGCCCTGCAGAGCGACTGCTGGGAAGAACAAGCCTCCAGAAGAGCAGCTAAAATTCTGCGATGCGGCAACAAGCAGCGCTCGATGCTGCCTGCTACAGAGCCTAATCTTGCAGGGCCTAAAAGCTGCAAATCTTTTTATGGCCCTCTGGAGACACATCTCTCTCTGGTCTACTCTGTCCCAGTCTATACATGTACTTCTCTTTATATATGTCCCCGTTACCCTGCCATGCAAAAGTCTCCAAATGCTTTTGAATCACTTGACAGCGTTCTGCATTTGCTGTGGCGGTGGTGCTTACTGGGGCTTAACTCCTGTGGACCAAACAGCAAGCATAAATAAAAGCAGTAACAGAAGCAGCATCCAGAACACAGTTTGGTGCATGGCACCTATGAGAATCAAACTTTGCAAGGGCTCCCAGTGACAACTGTTCAGCCTGCAGCTTAGGACTAATACTATGTATGCAAATTAATATTAACAAAAAAGTATGTTTTGCACCCCTAACACATTATGTTAAGGGCTTTTCACTTTGTATAGTCCGAGAATAATTTACAAATGCTTGAGGATAAGCCTTGCCTTTTGCTCTGCATCAGCTAAAGTAGATGTCTGCTGCTCTGAGGATTGAGCCACCTTAACAGGGGAGGCAGAAGTCCCAGAACACCTGCAGCACCGTAGGGCGTTGGATGCTCTCAGTACCAGGCATCCAGCAGCACGGAGGGAACGACGGTGGTCTCCATCAGCAACATCTTTGCAGGGCAGAGCAGACCCCCTGTGCAAACTCCAGGTGGCTCCTCCCAGCCGTCTGCTCGCCTTGCAATGCTGAGCTCAGATGGTTTCTCTTTGCCTGCTGCAGGAAAAGCTGCATAGGAAAAGACCTAGTTCTCCCTGTGCATGCACCAGAAGAGCCTCCCATACCTCCCCTTGGCAGTCACTGGACAGTCTTCTTCCCTTCTGCCCCACTTCTCCCCTTTTTCCCGCAGTGGGGATTTCCTTTATTCCAGCTCTTGCAAGGAATATTTTTGAACTCCCCTCCCTGCCTCCTGAAGCTTTCACAGTTTTTCCCCTCTCTGCCACCTCGCTCCTCTTCCAGGGACGTTCAGGAGCTTGGTGCGCTGGAAACCAGCCAGACACATCCCCTCCTCGCAGCCTGTGCTGCCCTCCGCACCTTCCCTAGGTGAAGGATGAGCACATAAGAAAGACGCTGCAGGCTGAGGACTGGAGGATCCAATTTTATTCACCAGATTCTCACCCAGGAAGAAGCCCCTACCTGGTCCCTCTGTATCCAGCCCTGCCCCATCACTGTTTGTGCAATAAATGGAGGAAAGTTCAGTCCATCTCAGCACAGCGCAGGACCTTGGACCCAGATCGGAAAGGCCTATGGGGATAATTTCTTCCTCCGGACCTTGTACATGGAATGGGAAAGGGGATCTGACCTAAGGATGGCAGGCACAGTGGCCTGCTTCAGGCCTGGCACATCAGCCTCTTTTCCAAGTGGGGAAGAAGGGAATAGATGAGAAAACAGAAGATGAAGCTTTAGCATCTGCATCTGCAAGGCGGGATACCAGCGCTCTAGTAACTCCTAACGATTTTCCCCTCAATGGCATTTTTTCCCTGGAGAATCTCAACTGTCCCAGGATTTCTCAGGGCAGCTGTCTCTGTTTTACTGAAGTACGGAGCACTTCACCTGCAGGATGAAGGGCTGCTCATTCCTCATGTCTGTTTGTGCCCCAAGCTTGTGCTGGGCCCTCTCCAAGGAATGCAATACCCCGCCAAGGTTTTCTTGCAGATGGTACGGAGGGAGACCTTGAGAAACAACTACCTCTGTGCAAGAAAGAAAGAGAGACCCTTTCTTATTTCCAAGGGTGCCTGGCTGGTTTCTGTTATAGATCAAAAGAATGAAACTGGATTTTGCCACAGAGGATGTTGCAGGGATGGCCTTGATGCACCATTAACGAGGATGGCATCTGTCCTGCCCTATGCCCCTGTTCTCGCAGATTACTCCCTGCTCCCCTAAATGAGCCCCAGCAGTAAGAACAAAGTTCAATTCCCCCCTCAGAGATTGCAGGCAGCCAGGAAGGCCTGGCTCGTTTGGATCCTGTTTCACTCCTTCTGCTTCTACAGCAGATGGGAGAAAAGCAATCTTACAGCTGCTCCAAAGGAGAACGGAGAAAATCCTCTGCTGGGGCCCAGCAGCACTGGTGCACCAGTCTGAGTGGAGTCATTTGCCTTTCCCAGAGCCACAGGTCTGCGATAAGCATTAGTTTTTCTTTGCTCTGGCCTCTGCTGTGAAGGGATGGGGGAGGGCAGAGTAACAGAAGAAGTTGCTTGAAACTGGCTGTGAAACATCTGGAAATGGAAAGCCAGGGGCTCGGGCTGTAACCTAAATTCAAGCAAAGGGCTGATAAAGTTTTAGGCTAGCCAGACTCCAGAGTCTATTTTTGCAGGTCTAACCTGCCCTATCCTGTTAATCCTGGGCATTTTTGGAGCTTTCCAGAAATACACCCATATCAGTGCAATAACGCCGAGCCCTTCTGAACTCGTTCCTTAGCTTATTCTGAGCAGAATTAGATTCTAGGTTTCTGCTGTTTCTAACAGCACTTTGCTGAGCAGGTCTTGAGAGAGGACTAACATCCCCTACATTACTGCAGGAAACAGCATCAAAAGAGGAAAGAAAATAAGCCAAGCTGCTGATGGACAGTTGCAGGTTTTCGGGGCAGTACATGGGGAAATGGTAAAGGCCCGTGCGCACAGGTTGTGAGAGAGCTGGGGAAGGTCTGGGTAGACATCGCTATCTGTGCCCAGGTTGTCCATACAGCCTCTGCCCTTGCTGGAGAACATCCCAGTGCACCAGCCTTGACGATGCTGCCCAGTCTCTCCTGCCACCCAGAGCAACCATGCTTCACACACTACTGTGCCCTGGCAAGGAAAACAAGGGGGTGAGAATGTGGGTCCTGGCAACCAGATACAGCTCAAGGTGAAGAACATCTGCTTAGAAGCTGGAACCTGGAAATTCAAGGGTTTCAGGGCTCAGTGCCCCAATTCTTAGCTATCCATTTGAATTCACAGCTTTAAATATGGGTGAAGCCATAGTTTGATGAAGAAGGTTATTCTTAAGGCATCTACAAGTTCACAAGGCAGCTTGGCAGAGAGAGGAGTGGAGATGCTTTGTTTGGAGCCTGGGGGCCCACTGCATTACAGAGGAGGCTTGAAGAGCATGACGAGGACCAGGGCCATGGCACCCAGTGCTGCGTAGCTGGTTCTCAGCCCCGGGCTGCTTCTGGAGCTGTTGTCATTGCAGAGGTCGGTGTAGCAGCACGACATGGGGTGGTTCGCCCCTATGCCGCCAGAGGCAACGCAATCCTCTATGCAGGACCTCATCACAGTGATATTGCCGAAAAAGGGGTAACCTAAAATGGACAGAAGGAAGAAAGGGGAGAGGGAGAAGAGAGAGACAGAAATGATAAAGCAAGTTTAGATACCTGGCATCAAGCAACAAGGGACACTTAATAAAAGAGTGTGTAAAGGCAAATAAAGACAAATGTATAAGGAGTTGAGCATCTTGTTATCCATTGAGGCTGGTAATCCAGATTGCTCTATGTAGGTACAGGTCCCCTGGATCCCTCCCTCTCTCCCTCCTGATTATTCCAAATCTTTTCTAGTGCAGACAAGAGGCACAAATCTCTGCATATTTTGTTAAGGTGAGTGGTTCCTGCCCAGCCTGCACAAAAAGCGCTGGCGTAGCGCTGACGTGGTCATGTTGTTTTTCTCCCGTGTTACACAGTCAGCGGTAGGTGAAAGCATCTGTGCACACAAACAAGGAGGGAGTCCCTGGGTTTCTGCAGTATGTGTGCACACATCTGTAGGTTTAGTGTAGGGATAGGAAAGGCGAAGGAGACTAAGTGGGATCCCCTATGCTTCACTATTAGGCTGTGAGTCTAATGGATTCCTTTCCTTCCCATCCTGATTTTGGACAACTCCATCCGGATTCCTATAGGCAAGTTAAAGAGTGCCCGTGATGGGGACTGGGAAGGGGAGACAGCAGCATGGGAGAAGTTCATGAGATCATTTAATGCATGAAGGAAACATCTCTGGACATGACTTCTCCCAACAACCAAAAAGACTTACCCGAGTCTACGGAGAGCATTGTTGTTGTGCATGCCCTGGCTCTCGGGGGGCATACAGTGACTGTTCTGCACAGAGAAATGTCTGTGGGTTTTTCGCACGTGTAGCATCGTAAGGATTGAGCTGCAGAGGGGAACAGAACGGGTCTGAGTTGGTCATCGCGGCAAAGACAGACAGCAAGTCTGCAGTTTTTCTGCTTTGGGGTGGGGAATGTGTGCTGGGCGGTGCTCCATCCCTCTGACAGAGGTGCAGTGACCCTGGAAACTAAGCAAAGCTGGAGACAACAGCAATGCTTTGAAACCTCCGAGTGGAAGGGCCAGACCCTGACACTCGAAGGGCGGAGTTGGTGTTGCAGGGGTTTGGGCATGCACGCTACCTTGGGGCTTAGCAGCCTAAAAAGCATGGGGATATAGAGGGATCTGTTGCTTGAGCAGCTTCAGCAGGATCTCTGTAGGATCCCAGTTGCGGGGTTTACCTGTCTGCCAGCAGTTCAGTGATCAGCCTGTTCTTGTGATTGTTTAGGTGCATTATAGCTGCTGCTGTTTGCTGTTATTCTGTAGACTCAAAAAGCAAGCCCACACCAGTTTTCCAAACTGAATTAAATTTTAGATTTAGGGAATCATTCTGACCAGAATTAGCAAGCTCCTGTGTTTTGTGTCCTCTGTAAAAGATGTTTGGAAGTCTCGATGTGAGACCTGTCCATCCACAGTCGGTAGATACAGAGCGTGCGTACTGATTTGAACTGAAACCAGGTCGGTGGGATGTTTTCTACCCTATGCGTCTTCCACCAACTTCTAACAACGCAGCAGCTGAAGAACAACCCAAATGTGTCCACTGCCATCTACTGGCAAAATTGCAGAAAGACGATGCTTTCTTCTTACTAATTCTGCGACATCAGAGAAACCTCTGGGACTTTGCGATAAGGATAAACATTTTTGAAGGCAGTCGTTTGAACGCCTGACTCTGGAATCCGTTTCCAGGGCATCTATTTCTCTTAGCACCTCCTTTGGAAAATTCAGCCTTAAGCTGTACAAGAGACCCCACAAAGACTCAGGAGCATTTTCCATCCTCTTTGCTGAGGTAAGAAGGGCTTTTTAATTTGAGAAGTAGTGAGGAACTAGGCTGGTTGTGGCCATATCCTTTGTAAACAAGATCAGTGGAGCTGTCTCATTTTAACTGAGTTGAGTATCTTGGTAGATCACTTCCAAGTGACCCACAGGAGATGGTTTTACATTTTAGTATGCAGGTTGCATAGGGAGAAAAAACACGGAGCTATCAGTCTGGCAAACATAACGATTATTTTTTGAGTGTGTAGGACCAGCTTGTGTATGGATGCAGCAGTGATAGTTTAAGGCATTTGAGAAACTGGTCTGTAACCTTTGGGCTGAGCTTATTTCTAACCTCACCATTTTTGCAGGTGAGCAGGGCAGCACCGTGGGCTCTGGCGGAGTCACTTCCAAATAAGAGCAGTTTTAAGTAAGACAGCCATCAGATCCCTCTCATATTTCACTAATTCTGGGTGGGGTACTGTGGCTTCTTGGGAAGGGTGCAGTGAAAGAGGAAAGTCTGAAACTGCAAGGACAATGGGAGAAGAGAAGAACTGAACAGAGAGGACAGTGCTATGTCCTGACCTGAGGCCAATAACTGCAGTCCACCGCTGTCTGACAGCACTTTTTACCCCTGATTTAAAAAACTCTGGAAGATGAATGGTATTCTTTGAGCCTCAGACATATTTCTGAGCAATACGAGCTGTTCCTTGCCTAGCTACCTC